GCCAAACTTGTGAGCCTGAGTAATGCAGGCATACATATTAGAGATAGGTGGTCTCTCAAATAATCAGGCCCTATACCATGACAGTTTTGTAGGTCATGAGTACCACCTTGAATAATATCCATGGTAAACAATGTAGCATGTGGAGCAGAGGTGTGACATCAGCATACCAATGCTCCTACCCCAATTCATTGTGGACCAATTGAGGTTTGCAAGTAGTCTTCAAGGGCAGCTCTATGTACAGCATGTTGCAATAGTTGAGCCTTAAGATTATTACAGCATGAATGACGGACGGATGTCCCAGTCTAGAAAAAGATGCATCTGTTATATATTCTTTACATATTGTTTTACTCATATGGGATGAAATAAAGGTTCAGTGGTCAGCTTTCTTTAATCACTTTCTATGGTGTTACTGGTTTTATTGACTATAACATGCTTTGAGAATCTTACAAAATAGGGAAAGTTATAAACATCTTAATTATGTCAGCAAACATAAAAATTAATCCTTCCTACTGTGTTGGACAATTCCCAAATCTCCAGTGAGATTGACAATAAATATGGAAATATACTCCAAGTCTCTTCCAATCTAGAGCCTCCTACAGAGCCATTATGATAGTCCGCTGTGATTCTTTTTCTCTCTTAAATAAAATATTAGTAAAACTCACATCCAACATTTCTTCAAAAACAGAAAGTATGTGGTCTTCATGTGTTCTACAAATCAGTTTCTGACCTTTAATGCTGCCAAACATTTTTTCCAGTAGATTTTGTCTTTTTGCTATTTCATTGTTTTCTACAATTCAAAACCTTTTTTTGTTAAACATTGTTCAGGTTGACAGTACCCTATAATTAATTACCTGCAGCATAACCACAATATGTTGGAGATTGTTTTTTAGAAGACTATCAATAGCAAATGGGTGAAAATGTCTACATGCCACTTGATAACTATGAGCAATATTCCTCACATTCTGAGCATCCTCTGAGGAGGAATAGAGAAACTGCTATCCTTACCTCCTGGTAGAAGTAGATTTACAACAGATAAGGTCATTTGCAAGTATGCTTAGTATTGGACATTTATTTTTTCTTCCTGATACCCCCCTATATCCTTTTGCAAAAAACAAAGCTTATTTTACATAATCCATCCACATATTGCTTCTACAAAACCCTCTATGCTTATCAGAATGCTTTTACCTTCTTTTGAAGACTTCCCATTAGAATCTAAATGACATTTCCAGAAGTTATAGATTATTTGTCTCATATTCCCTGATCTTTGGCCACGTTAGCTAGCCAATTTCAAGAACTGCAGTTGAAAAAATCTGGAAGGAGTCAGTTTGGGACATGCTGCTATGAGCCACATTCAACACCACCAGAAAATTACAGGTAGTCCAACATCTCTTATTTTCACTTGCTTAGAGATACACACAGAGACATACATCAGTAAAATCATGATGCATAATACCACTTATGCTTGGTTTTGATTCTGGTAATCCTTTAATACCTAGCAAAAGTGTGCCAGAATATTTAATTATTCAATTTGTTTGTGACATTACATTTCAATTTTCATTCAATGTAATTATGTTTGTTTCCATCTGTAAATCTCCCATGTTCCCAAATAATTCTTCTCTTTTTTTCTCCCAGCTAAGCAATTTTTTAACTATAGTATCAAGAGCACTTTATTTCTAAATTCATTCTTTTAACTTTTTTTAATCCCCATTTGTTTTATGTCATTGATTTTAGTAGGAGATTCACCCACTTTTTAAAGTTTATACTGACATCCTGTTACTCTTTTAAGATATTAGATCTGTCAAGTTTCAAACACATTAGAAAAAAGGCTTTTTGTTTTGTAGAAAAATGTGTAAAATGCTGCATAAATCTCCAGTAAAATAATTGATTATTTTTAAGTTAGTGGCTTGTTGACTGGCATCTTTTACACATTCTATAATTAAAGTCACACTCTCAACAAGAGTAGGAGATAGGAATCAGGAAGTGAATATATTAGAAATTCATTTTCCCCAGGTGATCTAATAGGATGAACTGCAATCTGTTTAGATTAGCTGTGGATTTCAGACCCAATGCCCCCAAACCTCTGGAAAAACTGGAACCAATGACACAAACTTGGCAGGGAAGAATTGGGGAGGTATGTGAGTAATCTCTCATTTTCCATTCAGCTTGCTCAATATGTATTCCATTCTTTGCCTCCCTATCTGCGTGACCCGTCAAAACCGCGGAGGACAAAATCTTGCTCGACGAAAGCGCGCATGTGACGTCATCACAGCGCGATGAAAAAAATTAAAAATTGAAATAAAATTAAAATTAAAGCAAGCCGATTCACATAAAGGTAAGGGTTAGGGTTAGGGTTAGGGTTAGGTTTAGAGCGTTAGGGTTACGTTTAGCGTTAGGTTAAGGGTTAGCGTTAGGCTTCGCGTTACGTTAATGGTTAGGTTTAGGGTTAGGTTTAGGGTTAGGCTTGGGGGGGTTAGGGTAAGGTTTTAGCTTTATTTTTACATTTTTTGATCACAGCGCGATGTTTTCGTCATGCTGTGATGACGTCAAATGCGCGCTTTCGTCGAGCGCAATTTTGTCCTCCGCGATTTTGTGGTGGAACCCCCTATCTGATTTGCTCAGTCTATTTATAGATGACTAACTTTAACATGCAGATCTTGGACTTACCTAATATGTTATAACTAGTCTACCTTCTCAAGGGTGCCTTCATTTTTTTAAAAAAAATATTCAATTTGTTTGTGTTCTTATTCCATAACCAGCTTGTTTGATACTGCTGGTTACATGAGCAAATAAGTGTCATTTATTTAAAAACTTAATTATGGAGAAAAATGGGCCATTCATTCTGTCCCCTTGAGATTACAGATGAAGGGGCAAAGAACAGGTATTAACATGTCAAAACATAATGCTTTGACCTGGGGAAATAGCCAAACTCATAGACCAAAAAAATCAGGTAGAATGGATGGGAAGGTGAACACACCAGGGGGATCTGACAGGTTCATGCCATTATCAGTGACAAGACAATCTTCCCTGCAATTGAAATTTTTTTTATAAGCCATCCACAAATTTCACAGGAAAATGAGCAGCTCTTTTGGTTGCAGATTGTGTTTTCTATTGATCTGACATTCTGATCTGTTCAGTATATAAGACATGTGAAACTTTAAACAAATATTTAGATATTCTTTTAAATAATGGAGATATACGACTCAATCACTCTTTACATGTAACCAGAAGAGCAGGAGTCCAAAGAAAATGAAAGATTTTGCAAAATTTTGCAAAATGACCCAAAAAATTCTATTCAGCAATTATTTATTCTCATTAAAATCTGTAGGTTTATTTTTAAAAATGCACACTGTAGCAGCTCTTATAAATGACAACTGTTTTCCAAATGTTATTGCTTCAGCTTTTCTACCAAAGGAAATAGTAGCAGAGACTTGACCTAGATAGATCTTTTTAAAGCATTTGTTTAAATTACTAAAGTGGATTTAATTCAGGCTAGATTTCTTAAATTAGCAAAGTATTGAATCTTTAATCTTCTAAATCTCTGCCTGATACTCAGTTATGGGAACCGTCCTGTGATGAATGGTCACTTCTAAATCTCTGATCCTGTAATATTACTAAGTCTTTGCTAATTTGGTAGATTACTAGAAATTCAAAGTATCTATGTATTTAAGCTTCAACAAGGAAGAGATGCCACCATTTCCATTCCTGTGTTGATTTTTCTTTGTCTTAACTTGTTGCCACAAAGAGAGAAATGGACAGTGTTAATTTAAAGCCTAACATAATTCTCCCCAATTCTGGGTCATGGTAGAGCATAGAATGGCTAGAAATACTACGTATTCATAGACAGTCTTGGCAAATCCTAACACTGGAGAAATACTGAATATGGATATTGCTATTATTTCACATATGAAACTTGAGGTATGAAGTTTCTCCTTTAAAATGAACATTTCTCTGCTTTTAGAAGCTAAGATTCAAGAAATCTGGGGACCCCATGGAAAGAAAGTATTTCATGGATCATGAGACTGAAGCCAAAATGGATGTTTTAAATGTTAAATCAGTTGTTATTTAAATTTTAGCTCTCCAAGTGCTAATCTTATCTGTTTAATTTCCTGACAGTTAGAACAATTAATCAGTGGAACAACTTGCCTCCAGAAGTTGTGAATGCTCCAACGCTGGAAGTTTTTAAGATGATGTTGGTTAACCATTTGTCTGAAGTGGTGTAGGGTTTTCTGCCTAAGCATGGGGTTCAGAGGTGGGTTGCTCCTGGTTCGGCCCAGATCGGGCGAACTGGTAATAGCGATGTCAGGAGGCTCCGCCCACCCACCTGGACGTGTGTATGAGCACTGATAGTAAAAAAATTGCCAATCCACAACTGATGGGGTTGGACTAGAAGACCTCTAAGGTCTCTTCCAACTCTGTTATTATATTCCATTCTAATTTGTGCCAATGTGATGTTTCTTCCAAGTAGTATAATTTCCATATGGAATGTTCTAGCCTAATACTCTTCTTCAGATTTTAGTAATTCTTTGATGTGTTAAAATTGGATGCAATTTTAAAGAACTTTTGTAATATTTAAACCACTATTGTAAACATATTTTAAAAATGGACTAATATTCTTGGAAACTTCCTATACATGTCACAGACTCAAAACAGGCATATTTTATATACGGGTGGGAAAAACTGCAGACATAGGAACATCTGTTTTGTAACTTGTCAATTACTTGTGAAGAGATCTTATCTCTTGTTTTACAAAGCAAGTGCATTGACACTTGCTATAAGCTTGTATCCTAAGAGGATTTGTTGCATCTGGAAAGATCTGTTCACAGGAGATTTTTCCTCCTTCTGCCCTTCCACTCTTAGGAAAGTTTCAATTAGCAATAATCGCACCTCGGATAAACCTCATTGGCTACTATATTGGCACTGCGCAAAGCAGGATAGTTTATGGGACAGAGAGAGAGAGAGAGAGAGACTGCTCAATATCAGGCCTCTGTGAGATTCTACTGTTTGATGATTATAAGAATTTTGTTTTATTTTTGATGCTGAGACCATAAGCTGTTCACTCAATTATATATATATTATTTATTAAGATACTTCATTGGTTCTTCTTATTGTTCTTTTTCCTCACAGTAGGCAATGTTTAACTCCAACAAAATGTTAATTTTTGGAACATCCAACCGGACTTCTGCTGTTTTAACTATTATTTGCAGAAAGAAAGGAGGCACTCAAGGAGAAGCTATGAAAGTCCATCTTCTTTCACTGACACTTGAAGCAGGCACAAGGAGAGCAATGATGCTGATGAGAATGGATCAACCCCTCAAGACGAGTTACTATTTCGTAATCAGCAAGAGCCACGGTATTGATATTGAGACCCAGCATGCGAGAGATAACTCTTCGGAAATCTGCCAGCTGCAAGGGCAAAGGAAAACAAATAAAGTAAACTATATGGCGTGTCTTCTCCCAATCAAAATGCTGGTTTACAGCAATCTACATCAGAAACTCCTCTAGATATTCCCATTATCTGAAAAGATGTCAGGAGTGGCTAGCAGATGACTATGGAGCAAAAATAATTATTTTGTTTGTTTCTTGAGAAATCTCTAAATTACAGGAATTGAAGAATAATTAGTGAAACCTAGTCTAAAGAGCCCAGTATGTGTCATAATTCAGTGGCTTATTTTTTATCAAAGCTAGGGCCAGAGGTGGTATTCAGCAGGTTCTGACCAGTTCTGGAAAATTGGTAGTGGAAATTTTGAGTAGTTCGGAGAACTGGTAAATACCATCTGGCCCTACTCCCATCTATTCTCTGCCTCCCTAGTCTCAGCTGATCAGGAGGGAATGGGGATTTTGCAGTAACCTTCCCCTGGAGTGGGGAGGAAATGGAGATTTTACAGTATCCTGCCACACCACGCCCACTAAGCCACGTCCACAGAACCAGTAATAAAAAATTTAGAATCCCACCACAGCCTAGGGACCTCTGAAGATGATGTGCTACACAATCTCTGAGTTTCACTGAAACTTACAGGTAGTTCTCAACTTACAACAGTTCATTTAGTGACTGTTCGAAGTTAAAATGGCACTGAAAAAGTGACTTATCCGTTAAATAATATTTTATTTCCATTTTCATTACACACACTCACATGTATACTATACATAGCCAATATCATATAGTATTAAATAA